GGGTGGGGTCCAGGGGCCCGCCCTAGGGCCCCTGGCGGGATGCAGGGGTAGAGCCCTTGCCCGGGATCCAGGGGGCGGAGCCCCCGGAAGCGCTTGGATTTTAGCAATTTAGAACCTTCAAGATGGCCGTTTTTGAGGGAATTGAAAAAAATTGAAAATGCAAGTGCAATATTTGTGAACTCTAGGGGGTTATTTTTTTTCTTTGGAATTTAGAGGAGATAAATTATTGTGAATTTCAGGAGCTGAAAAATAGTATTTCGACTGTTTTCGGCCGAGTAGCACGATTAAAGTTAGATAGCCATGTACGTCAGCTGTGTACCATGAGAGTTTTGTCATATGTTGACCAGCGTTTTTAAAAATTATCGCGAATTTACTCACCGACACCACATTTGTGCCTGAAAAACAGTCGCGCAGTCGAATAGGGACCATAGTTTGAAAGAATTAGTTTCAAATTACCAGTAACCATCCACCCATCGCCGTATGCATGCCATTGCCACACACGATAGCGAACTACCCACGACTATACTGCCAATAACGGCCTAACACGTGTCTTTGTCCCTCGTCAAGCAAAATGAAAACAGTAACAACATTTCATCGTAACAATAGCAATTATTTGAAGTCAATTAAGTCAGCAATTTTTCATGAATTTTTATTTTCATTTATCATTAGTATAGGAATTCAAGCCATCTACGTGTGAGATTCTTTCTGCGCATATTTGCATACTGCGATCAAAAATATTCAATATTTCTATGGTTGTACCATAGATACACTCAAGAGCTAATAAATACCTAATAAGAGCTATTATATAAATAGGGTATTTATTTAATAGCTCTTGATACACTATATATGTAAATATGATATATGTGGTTTGTAGATAAATGCCCGAGGGGATAAACTAACTACTCGGCAAAATTACCAGTGGGGCGACGCATGTTGTACGGCAGATGAATGAACTAACAGTCGCAATGACAACTATATGATAATGCAACAGAATATTATATATTTTGTTTATAAATATTAGATATAAAAAGATATTAGATAGTAAATATCACCAATTTTACGTCAGATATCAAATACAAAAGATAAAATGTATCTAATTAATTGTATTTATTGTAACTTCACTTATTTTTCGCTAGTATGGCATGAAAAAATACTTATGTGAACATATGACATCTATAGCAAAACCTCGCTTTATTCGGTCGAAATACATACAATAGATATCGATAGAAATATCCAGAGCAAACGTGCAAAAAATCACTAACTAAGCAATGTATTCGTATTACAAAAAATAAGAAATCGATTTAAATAAAATTATTTTTCAGTTAATCTCGCCAATATTATCAAATACACACTGATGATGCTTAGCAGTCGATTCCTATATCACGGTTATCACCTGTCCAAACGCGAGCACCCGTACACGCGTAATATATATATATATATATATATAAGACTATTAATATAATATAATATATCAAGTATAATACTATATAACTATCTATTGAGAATATAATTTCCGCTGCATTTGTACTTTACTCTGATCTATGTCATCATCTGGTACTTTTATATCTTTTAACACCACTAATTGCCTTCTTAACGTGTCCATATAGTCATCCAACCATGGTATGGTTATACGGCCAACGAGCTTTTAACGAGGTAGCTAATGTGCTGTTATATACGTAGCTGTAACTGAATCTTTTCTTCCTGGCAAGTGTAGATTTTTTGCTAACAATATTGGAAATCCACTGTTTTTTTAAGGGACACCAGACATAAGTCAGAATTTTGCCATGCCCTGGACACCCCCAACGTGTGCTAACAACAACGGCACCAACCTAGCAAACAGCATCCTTGCCATAATTGTTGCCAAAGTTCTTTCATGACCTTCAGATCTGCTTATGATGCCGTTAACCGCCCATTACAGTTCATCCTGACGTTATTCATACCGACTTGGTGCTATTTCATAACAATTGCTCTGTCACGCATTTCATTTTATGAAAATAAAATTATTATAGCTCTAGGATTTTATACCGCTTAATAGCGGCTTATACATTCTGATTCATATTACACATACTGATACTATAGTATACTATGTGTGACATGTATCACTAAGTATCACTATGACGACACATAGCAGCCGAATCTTTTAGTTCGCTCCGGCGCCGTTCAGCGTGCGTCGCGCTAGTAGTCACAGCACCAATGGTGATGCCTCGCAGATGAACCGCAAGTTAGCGATCCAGCTAGAAATTTATTCTAAGTCTATGATATACCATATATGATATATATGATTACCTTGGTCAGTGTTGGTGGGCCACCATGAATGCATAAACAATTACATCGTCATACAATGTCGTACAATCTACGTAGTCAAAGGGAACTATAAGTTATAACCGAGACAGAGAGATTGAGAAAGTTGATTCCGACATCGATTGTTATGAATATGAATATTGTTATTTTAGTGCTGTGTTTTTGTCTTATAAAACTGTCAAGTACAGTCAAGTACTCGAAGTCTAAGGCTACTCAAAGGAATCTTCTTCTTATTGTTGGTAAATTATAAAACAGCGGCACATGCACTCTCTCTAGTCTAGACACACTTAGTTACACTATATAGTCACTTTAGCAGGGGCGTGTACAGGATTTGTATCAGGGGGGGGGGGTCTAACCGTAACCCAAACTTCCGAGCACGCGAAGGGGGGGTGGATCTAATTTTTGAAATTAGACCCCCCCCCTGTACACGCCCCTGTTTAGGCACCTTAGGTATCACGAAGTGATGCACAAATTTCGGTGCATCCTCAACTGATGCACAGACTTTTCGTATATCAAGGAATGATGCAAAAACCCTAACCCTAAACCTAACCCTAACTGGGCCTAAGTTCTAACACACTTCGTGATACCTATAGGCTAAGGTTATACTTTATGACTTAGGGTTAGGGTTAGGGTTTTTGCATCATTCCTTGATATACGGAGTCTGTGCATCAGTTGATGATACACAGAAGTCTGTGCATCACTTCGTGATACCTAAGGTGCCTAAAGTGCCTAGGCCACGCCCATGATTGCATTACATCATGGGACGTATTACTATTAGTAGGCGCGTGTCTAACTAGCACCCCGGATTAGTTTAGCACATATGGCGAACTATTACCCTGTACAGACTGCAAAATGTGATATGGTATCAAACTAGCGTGCGCCAAATCGTAGCGTACAGACTGCAAATTTGATCCTACATTAAATGAGTCATCAGTTCTCAGTTCAGCTCGCCACGTCACCCCGCAGACAGAAATTGTACAATTACGTGACCTAAATAACTCTATGCGCATGCGTATTGCGATTTAGCACCGGATCTGGGCCGCGTGTTGCGTGCAGACAGCTTGGTGCGGGATAACTTATCCCGGGCCTGGCCCTGGCCCTCCTTCATTTGCGGGGCCAAATTGGTGCGGGCCAGCGTGTATTTGGAGCGGAATAGCGTGTATACACTGCAAAAATTTGGCGCGGGCCTGACCCGCACCAGTTTAATACCATATCAAATTTGCAGTCTGTACGGGGTATATATATACCAGGGTCTGAAACTAGGATTGAGCAAGCATGACTAGGTGGCTGTGTTTGCTGCAAAAGCATATACTAGTTTAGCAATTCCAGCAGCTCTTAAACTCTCATGCTTCAGTTTCAACTTCACTTTAACATGCATCAGGCTGCTGTGGCACTAGCTCTAGAACTATAGCACTTTTCTCCACCACATGACTATAGCATAAACTATGTTGAAAATGGGCAATGAAACTTCTCCCACTGCTCCCACGAGGAATGGCTCACAGAACGCAATATAATCGGACTTTTAAATGCTAATTTATTTGCATGGACCTCTTGTCTAACTTTTTGAACAGTTTCACAATTTTACACCATGCATTTATTCATTTATTCCTCAAATTCTTACCACTACTTGCAAGTTTCGTTCAAATTTTGGCGTACGTTGGTAACGTCATCCAAAATGTAGGCAAAAACACGAGGATAGCCCATTACTCATGCATGGGGTGAACTGGCACTTTTCTAAACAAATATGTTGCCTGACAACCTTGTATCAGCGCCAGTGCTATACCCACATCCCTATGAGTAATGGGCTGCCCCCTTTTTCATGTGATCCATTTCTCATAGGAGCAGTGGGAACAGTTTCGTTGCCCTTTTTAGCTCAGCTGATGAAGTCACGTCAGTTGAGCGCTGTCGCTCTGCGGCACTTGTTTTATTCCACTCAGCAACTCTAAAACAAAAGAACTGCTTACCTGTTATCAATACCTAACATCTGGTAATTACTACTAAATACTATACTACTACAATAGTACCAATACTATGAGCTACCTAAAACCTCGTTAATGAAGCAAACGATTGAACTTTCAGCTGACGATGCCGGATTCGAGACAAGTGTTTATAACAACACGGTATGCTACACACCGAACCTTGACAAGCTCGCTAAGAGGAGTGTTGTCTTCGACAGGGCCTTCACGTCTGTCAGCAGCTGTTCCCCTAGCAGGTCTGCCATTCTCACAGGCAAGTCATGTGCATACACACATTGGTCTGGGACGATCACTGCTGTAGAAAGAAGGTACCCGTGTATTGGGACAATATCTCGATATGTGTTGCCATGTCTGTCCCGTGGTGCCCTTGCCCACCATGAGTTGCCTCTGGATGCTGTTATGTACATGACAAAAACCTTGTGTAAGCTGTAGTTAAATTTCAAGGTCAAAACTATAATTAATTTGTTCAGCAGTGTGTAGTTCTGTCATGAAACATTGCAACAATGATTATTGAGTAATAATGTATTCATTGTTCTTAGGTCTTCCACAGCATCAGAATGGCATGTATGGTCTTCACCAGCAATTGCATCATTTCAACACTTTTGATAATGTACAGAGTGCCTCAAAAATACTCTCTGATGCTGGCATACATACAGGTATTCTGAAGCTATATATATATATATATATAGCTT